CCCACCCCCAAACCCTTGTTTTCTCTCTTCACTCTGCCGTTAGACTCTCTCATTCTATCTCAAGCTCTTTGCAACCACGACTTCTACTCGCCGGTATCAATGGTGGTTCCACCACCACCCCTTACCTCCATGGATCCCCTACACGCCGGATTCTTGCCATCTTGAAGGTCCTCAAGGGACCAGTGGCTGTTTACTCACACCTATGGTCTGATTCTTGCCGTTCTCCGGTCACTTTGGCCCGTTTGAGTAAGATTTTTCTATTATCCGGCTAGATCCATGGCTTCTAAGCCGGAATCTCTCCATCTCTGGGTTATCTCTCTCTGAAACCCTAATTCATCTCTTAACTTTTCAGATCTACCACAGATCTGAGTATATTTTGAGTTATCTTTACTATTTTCTTGATGATCTTCCCGATTTTTCACACCTCTTCATCTTCGAAACTAGGATTTCTTAACCCCTTTGCAAAATGACTTTTCCTCTGATTTTCAGTATTATTCTATGATTTCTACCATGTTTACGCGGTTTATTTAAGTTTTTCCTTTTATCTGATTCATCATGTTGAAAACCCTAATTATTTTGGTTTTAATCCGAGTTCTGAAACTGTCTTTGCTTATCTGATTTATATGTATACCTGTTTCTCATGCATATGTTCTGAGCTTCTATGATTTTTTACCTCCTTGTGCTCATTAGGTTTTCTAATTTTGCTTCTCCCGCCTATATTATGTTTACTTCATTTGTTGACGGAAATTTGTGGTAATTTCCTCTAATCAGTACTATTTCTTGTTAAATCCCTGATCTCCTGTGATTGATACCTTTTACTGATTTCCTGTGATTGATTCCCTTTCTGATTTCCGACCTTTAATTCATTCTCTTGCCTTATTACGTGATTGACTGTGTTGTTACTTGATTCTTATGTTATTTCCTTAATTAGAACCTTATGAATCTAGCCCTAGTTGCTTACTCTATACCTCTTATATTTGAAGTCTGTCCTTATTGGTCGTACATTGATTTCTTTCCTTATTTGTTATTCAACTCCTTAATTAAAGGGAAATACTTATACTAATTTGATTCTAATTAGTACATAGTTCCATAATTATTGTTGAACTATGATTATTGCCTTATTTTCTACCTGTTTTCAAACTATAAGTACCCTGCTCTTTCATTAACACAACACATGAACACATTGGTTCAAAACTCTCTCTCTCACACTCAAAACCTTTTGCTCTCTTTTTGTGTTACTTACTACTGTTCTAAGTTAGCCGGCTGCAAGCCAAGGCTAATTATTATGCTATCATATTCTTCACTTTGTGTTTACTATCTCTTTACTGGTATGTTCTGATTTCAATTTGAGTCCCAAAACCAATATGTTTGTTTTACTGCTTCAGTTCATCATGTTTCTAATTTGTTTCTATTTATGGTTCTGTTGTTCAACATGTAACTGACATGTTTACATTTACTGCTTCATCTAGCATGCTAGTTTAAACCCTCTTGGGGCATTTCAGAATAAGTTCTACTCCCCTGGTAGTCTGTCTCAGTGTGACCCTACTCTGTTTGAATGCTTATCTACTTGCTATCCAGTTTTGATATGCATGTACTTTGCAAAATGATTTGTCACTTTAAATGTTTGATTCTATGATTGGTTCTAGAATTCATACTGTGTTGGTACCACTAGTTACCCCCTAATCCCATAGACACCTAGAAGAACTGCTATGCTCTTGTATACTATGTGCTTTATGTGTCCTCAAATCCCATTACCCATGTTTGTGGTTGTTGAACCTGCCTTGGTTCTATGTTCTTTGGCTGTGTATGAACCTGTTTTGGTGTGCTGTGTTTGGACTGTTGCTTACTACTCTACTCTCTTTTCAAAACTGTCTCTGTTGTCTTTTACAAAACTATTTCAAACAAGTTCCTTTTCAAACTATTTCCCTGCTTAGATCTTTTCAAGCACTTTCACATCTACTCTTATGTTTTAAGTTCTGCCCCTCTAATGTGTGACTGTTTAGAGATCCCTATGAGATCCCTCTAAACTCTGATACATTAGAGTTGGCCCTTCCACACTGTACTTACTCAACTATGACTATGAAAACTGGGTGTGAGCACTGCTCGGGATCTTTGAGGTCCTTAGGGAACTCTGACATACCCGGATTATGTGAAAGGCTGTGAGGCAATCTGGCATTGGAAACTCTGGAAATCTGGGCCTACTCTCAGGCTCCCTATAGTATAACTTCTTATTTTTCTTATCTACTTATGTAATTCATTCGATATTAGCCTATAATAATTTGCTGTAAACATATGCTGGGGATGGATAGTGAAATGGGAGGGTAGCTACGTATGTTATAAAAGGGGTAGAAACTATGCTTTAGGTTTACATTTCCTATATGCACAATAGAATCCATGTTTAGGACCAACATGTACAAAGCATATCATAGACCATGCTCCCCAGGTTTTTTTTATTATGTATGCTGTTTCAACATCTCATGTTGACATTCTTGCTATCACTTAGAAATCCTGTTTCTAGGCATTAAAACGAAACTGCTACTCCTGCACATTTGACAACATGCTCTACAATGTTGTAACCTTTTTATGTATTTAGAAATCATGCTTTAGGAAATTTTACAATCATGTCGTGCATATTAGAAATCATGCTTTAGGAATTCTGTATATCCTGTAATCATTCCGCGTTTATACGTGCATATTAGATACCATGATTTAGGATCTCATTCGTACTTGCTCAGTCACACCTAGTGTAAACTACCGATTATGAAAGATGTAAAAATAACTTCACATTTGATTATCCTATTTTAAATAAACTGGTAATAATCCCTGTATTTTGTAACACTTAGAACAACATGCTTTTAGGGTAAAATAACTCCTTCATTGATCTAATGGTTTGGGTAACGACTATGCACTATCCCACGCCTAGGCAAGCCTTAGGTAATCAACTCTTATAAACTAGAAACTACCTTTTTGTGTTTACTGCTTAATGATTAACATGCTTTAAAAAATCAGTAGGCAAACTGATTAGGGCCCCTGCTTCTGAGTTTATAAAACAAAGCTGCATATCTACTGTGTTCTGATATTCACTTAGACATCATGCCTTAGGATCCCGTCTAATAAAATGCCTCTTGTTTGTGTTTGAGACGTGCTGCTTATGTGCGTTATTTGTGAAGGTTAAGCTGGGCCTCTTAACTGCTTCTTTCCTGCCTTTATATATTGAGTCCTACGTGTTCTTGCCTATCGCCTAGAATTTTCTCCTTTTAAACACCTTAGGGGTTGTCAAGAACCGCCCAGATTTAGAGGTCCTAAAATACCTCCAGGACCATAAGGAATGGACGGGTAGTGCACGCATAGGACACTATCAAGGTAATCAGAACGCTTTAGGCTATGACCAATGGGCGGGAATGGGTAGATATGGATATAATGACTACACGCTAATGTTACGTGTAGCCCCTCATTAAGGAGTGTTTACTGGGCATTGCGCGGGGTGATCCTGTAGGCTAACCAACCTAGGACCCCTCCTTCCCAAATTCCCTTTGCCTAAAACTTTAATTTTCTATATAACTTGTTCAAATTCTTTGTCTTATCATTTGAGTCATACAATGTACAACATACTTTATCTGTAATTATTTGTTTCAAGTACTTATTCATTAAAAGACTAATTCATAAGTATAAGTTCAGTCGGGACCCACAATTATGGACCGAGAGGGGTGCCTAACACCTTCCCCTCAAGGTTATTTTGAGCCCTTACCCTAAATCTCTGGTAATACAAACCAATCCAAGAGTTAATCGCTCTAGGTGCCCTAACGCACCATAATCCGTTAGGTGGCGACTCTTCAAAATACCCAAATCCCAAAAGGAAATGAGTTATTATCCCCATAAATGTCGAAACCCGGACCTTTCTTCCCCGTAAAAGGGGAGGGAAAAAAGGGGGCGCGACAGTAGGATGTTTTCGGTATTTAACCAGATTGGCCAAAGTCGATTTCTCTCTTCAGCACCTTCTCAACTTATTTGTTTCGAAGTCGTTCAAAGGCAGCTTAGTCTCGATTGTCAGTCATGCCATAAGGACTCTCGTGGATGCAAAAGATGATCACAATAGGGGTTGGCGCGATCAATTTGTAGCGATTCCCATGTGGGAATTGGTATCTCTTGAAGATGGACCAGTTCTAGAGAGATGGAGTTATGATCATAGATCTTCCTGTTTCAATTATGACTATTTTCGTTGTTCCCTTATGTCGTTATTCCTTTGTCGCAACTATTCTATGTGCTCCAACTGAAGTGCCCAGATTTAGGAATGGGTCGAGAAGATTCTGTCCTCTTCTTCGATGCTTGAGAGAACCTGGAGGCACATATCTGAGGTCTCATGGAGGAGAGGTAAGAGTTATGGTAAGTCTTCGTGAGTCCTCCTTTTTTTCTTGTTTATATTATTCTCACTATTTCGGGGAATTAATGCACACCAATCCCATCCAAGTTAATTCAGGAGAGGAGACCCCCGTTCTTTTGTCCGTGGAGGCTAGGGAGGTGTGGTGGCAAAAGCTGCAGCAGACGTGATTCCAAACAAGGGCTTGCCAATAGGGCAGATTGTTTTTTCCCAGGGAAGGGCTACAATGCCTCTAAGCGAACAAGTAATCCCGCCTATCTGGATAGTCCTCCCATCGAAGAAGAGAGTTCTCGGGAAGGGTCTAATGAGGCATTTGTGGTTAGCTCGACCGTGACTGCCCTATCGGTTTTGTGACTGAAACTGTTGATATACATCTTATCAGCTTTTGGGTGCCAAACGGGGTTGAAACATTTAAGAAGATGAGACACGTTACCACTTTCTCCCTCAGTTGGCAAGCCCCCAAGACTGGAAGCACATGGAATCACTACATGCTGAAGCCTTAGTGACTCAAATGGATATGAGACCACAAGGGTAAGTCTCTTTTTGCTTTTAGTTTTCCTGATAGGAGACATAACCTAATTCATTTCCTTTTGCAGCTAGCAATACTTACTTTGGGTGCACTAAAAGATTTCGAGGGGATGTTGCCATACCCAAGGTGGTAGTAAAGTACGACCAAGCGCTGAAGGCTGAGAACGAGAATCTCTAGAAGGCGAGGAGTCATTCCTAAGAAGGACCGAGGTTACGGGAGAGAAGCGTCGAGAAAAGGATAGCTAAGGTTTTGAAAGTTAAGGCAGCTCAACTGGCCGAGGACAACAAGGCCCATGATATGCTTTATGCTCTTTAAGCCGATTTAGCGTTGAAGGCCAACAAGGAGGTCTGACAAAGGAAGAGTGTTCTTATTTGTCAGCGGAGGTACAAGGACTGAGGTCGTAATTGGCCCTGACGGAGGAGGTTGCCCGGGCCAATAATGCTAATTGGGAGACCCTCCAAGTAGCCTTAGAGGACCTATAGAGAGATGTGGTTGTCAAACGGGCCTGGACCATTATGGAGACCCGCCTACACACTCTTCATGAGGTGCGTACAAGTGCAATATTAATTAGAGGTTCCTCACTTTGAAGAAGAAGCGAGTGATCTCAGTCGACGACTCGGCCTTCCATCTCTAGACATGTAAGTGCCTTCTTCCGAAGAAGACGAAGGTGAGGATTGTTTTAACGAAGTAGAGGAGGTAGCTCCTGCCCTCGAACCGTCAACTTTCTCTAGTGCTGTTGATCTGAATGCTCCTTCTACTTCTGGTGCGAAGGCTGATGATTATCTGTAGGTTTGGGTCTTTGCACTTTTGTGCCCCTTTTTGTGTTCTTTATTTATGGCTCTTTGCGTAAGCTAAATATTTTCAATGAATTTTCTTTTGTCTCTTTAAATATTTAACAATTCAAACATATACTTTTTCTGTTTTGACACTTTTAGCCGAGGAGGCCTTGAAATCTTAGACTCTCTTTTTCTAGATCACAATTTCATTTTGTGAGGGCGTCTTTTTTTTGTGAGAGTAGGGATGGCGTTTCATCTTCTTATAGGCACAAAATGGCCTCTGAAGGACTAACTTATTCACTTGAAGTGTTAAAATGCAAAAGGCTATTTGGAAAGGTACATGAATAACCATATGTAAGTATTATTCAAGATCCAAATTCATTAGGGCGATGGGGGTGAATCCGAGCGTCGCGTTACGTAGGAAGTCCTAACCATTTTTGAATGGGTCATATTTACAAAATGTGAAATTAGGAACTTGATGTCTCTCAATTGGTCTTCATGGATTTTGCTTTTCTTGATTTTTTTTCTAAAAATGAGCGTGGCAATTAGTATCTATGGACTTTGCTTTGCTTTTCGGGATAAGCTGTTGTAGTTGGCCTTCTCTCTGTTGCTTATGGTATATTCCTCCCCCTCTAAGTATTTAAATTTGAGGAATTAAGACTCCAACACTGAAATATCATCTGATGTCGATGATATCTTCTAAGGGTCATGTTCCTGCAAAAGAAAACTGAGGGATTGAGGGATTGTTCTTAAATGAAAATGGTACTCGTGCCCTTTCATGGTCAAAGTGCTCGACCTTGGTGCAGAACTATGAATGTTCATTGTTTGTGCTAGAAATGTCTATATGGTCGTCATCCAAGACGACCGGTTTATGCCTATCATCTAAAAATATTAGTATAAAATAATGAATTCATAAGACAAGTTGAAGGAGGGAGAAACAAAATCGTTGGGATTTAGAAGTTGAACCATTTGAGATATTCCGCATTCCAATTTGTCTTTATTGGCATTCCATCCATTTCTTCAAGTTTGTATGATCCTTTGAGCGTTATTTTGGTAATTTTTGTAGGGTACTTCCTAGTTCAGCTCTAGATTTCCCACGTTCGGTTCCTGGGAAGCTACAAATACGCTTCGGAGTACATAGTCGCCTTAGAAACGATGCAGGTTGACTTTCTTGTTGTGATTTCACAATTAGTTGTTTTTGCACAACCATTTTAATCAAATATATCTCCCTTCATCCTTCCACTAAGTCTAGACTACAAGTAATTAGTTATTATTTGATTCTTTGTTAGCATGCACAAACTATAGGCTAGGTTCCCCTATTTCAACCGAAATCAGCGCTTCAGAATCATATACTAGGGAAAAGGGCATTTCTCCGGTGCTCTATTTCATAGTTATGAGGTAAGCCCATAATACTCTAGGCAGTGCCATCAACCATTTGCCTTTTGCTGCTTCTAATCTCGTTTTCAAGTAACCAACCAGGACTTTATTTGAAGGTTCAGCTTGTCTATTAGCTTCTGGTGGTACGACGTGGATGTAAACCTTTTCGATCTTCAATGTTTTTTGTAACTTTGGCCCCTACAAACTATGGACTGTTGTCACATGCAATTTCCTTCGGCACCCTCAATATTCATATGATGTTCCTCCATACGAAGGCGATCACTTCCTTATATCGAATCTGTGAGTATGCACCTGCTTCCACCCATTTCGAGAAGTAATTAGTCAACACAAGTAAAAGATATTATAGTTGAGGTCCAACTATGTCCATCCCCCATTTTATAAATGGCCAAGGGGATAATATCGAATGTAATGGTTCGCCTGGTGATGTAGTCGGTGATAGAAGCATTGGCACTTGTCGCACCCTTTGACGAAGTCAGCGGCGTCACGTTCTATACCAATATTATCTTGCCCTGATAAACTTTCTCACTATTGACCTGTCTTCAAAATAGTTCCTGCAATGTACTTCATGGACTTCTATCATCACTTAGTCCACCTCTCCTGGTCCTAAACATTTTTCCAGTGAACCAATAAAAGTTTTTCGGTCCAAATATCCTTCGATGAGGCAATATTATAACGCCCCAACCCTGAGCTGTCGAGCAAATTTCTTATCCTCGGGCATCATGCCATTCTGCAAGTAATCAATAAAGTCATTGCGTCACTATCTTACTAAATTAGTGGTATTTACCTCTTCTCGACTTGGATCGATTGTAAAACATAATAAATGGACGACAAAGCTTGCCCCAGAGTTGGAAATATCTGCAGCTGACCCTAAGTTGGCATTTTTTGGGGGTATTTAAGTTGCTTTTCATTTCTTGAACTAGCTTAGGAGTCGTGTCACTCATGTAAGGTATCATTGTATCCGAGTCTCTCGAGCTATGTATGTTCTGAGCACTTGGTTTATGACCAGGTGTGAGTCACTTTTTAATTCTATCCACTAGGCCCCCAGTCCCTGAACTAACTCGAATCCTTCAACAACAACTTCATACTCTACTTTATTGTTTTTTATTGTATGGCATTTAATCAATTGTCTGGCTGTCTCGCCAGTCATTGCTACGAGCATATTTCGAGCCTAGACCCCTTCATGTTAGATGAGTTGTCTGTGTACAGGGTCAAAGTTCCCGAGATAGTTCTAGAGGCTACTATTGATTCCTTTTTGTTTTTTGCTTCAGGGAGTGTGTTAGCACAAAAATCAGCAACAAAGTCACCCAAGACTTGTGATTTTACAGCTGTTAAAGGTTGATACGTGATATCGTATGCGCTCAATTCGATCACCCATTTGGCAAGTCGTCCCGAAGTTCTAGCTTATGGAGATTACTCCTTATGGGAAAGTAGAGACCACCAAAAAGGGATGACACTGGAAGTATGGCTCAACTTTCGTGCAACCATTATGAGTACTAGTGCAAATTTGTCTAAGTGCAGATATCTAGTTTCGGCATCTATTAGTTCCCTGCTTAATAATAAATTGGATATTGAGCACTTTTATCTTTTCAGACCAATACAACTCTTACGTCAGTTTTTGATACGACTAAGTACACCAAAAGTCGTTCTCCTAATTTGGTTTTCGATAGTAGAGGCAGATTGGACATATACTTTTTCAAGTCTCGCAGCGCTTGTTGGCACTCGAGAGTCCACTCGAAATTCTTATGCTTTTTTAGTGGTGCAAAGATTTTGTGGAACCTTTCGAAGGAGCGGGATATGAATCATCCGAGCGCTGTTATACTTCTTATTAGTCTCATCACCTACTTTTTATTTTCAATACTAAGAGTATATCCTCAATCGACTTGATCTGCACAGGGTTAACTTCTATACCTCCATTAGAAACCAGAAAACTAAGAAACTTACCTAAAACGACTCCGAAGACGCATTATCTAGATTGAGTTTCATGTTGTATTTTCGGAGGACTTCGAAGGCTTCCTTCAAGTGATCTAGGTGATTGTCTACTTGGACTAATTTTACAAACATATCATCAATGTATACCTCAACATATTTACCAATGTAATCCCAAAACATTCGAGTGACTAGTATTTGGTATGTTGCTCTAACGTTCATTAGTTTGAATGTCATGACGTTATAGCAGTAACATCATGAACCAGAATTCCCACTATCGGGACCGTGATGTCGCCTAACATTTTACTTGCTAGGCAAGATAACGTTAGAACATATTATCCATTTTTAATAGTTAAAATAATGCAAAATACTAAAATAACAGAAATAAGAATACGGAAGCTAAAACTGTTAAACACCTACTACAAAATCCCTGAAGCTGGTGTCACGAGTGCACGAACTACTAGAATAGTACATATAAGGGTCTGAAATAAATACAAAACCGTCTGAATGAAAATGCACAGCTAAATAGAAAGGGGAAGGAAACTCCAAGGGCAGAAGACGCTGAGCAGTCGTACCTCAAGTCTCCGTAATTATCCGATCCGAGCTCTCTAGTAACCGCTGCTGGGAACGACTCCAAAATCTGCACAGAAGTGTAGAGTGTAGTATCACTACAACCGACCCCATATACTGGTAAGTGTCGAGCCTAACCTTGATGAAGTAATGACGAGGCTAAGGCGGGTCACTAACACCACAACCTGTATGCAGTATATGTATAATAATGACAGAAAAGTAAAAATACTGAACAGAAGTAAACAGTCAATTGAGAATAATAACCACGACCTCAATAATACACCAGTATCATCCAGAATTACCAATCTTTAACAGTTCTAATAAAAATATCGGAAACCAAAGCAGCTCAAGAAATGAAAACATATAGGTTGTTGCGGCGCGCAACCCGATCGCACCAGACAACACAAAATCCTCCATTATTTCACTGTAATAGCATCAACAACAGAGATAATATACATAGATATATTGCGGCGCGCAACCCGATCCCACCATATATCAATATTAGTATCATAGTCCACCCTTATTTTACCATATCAATCCACCCTTATTCCATATGTTGCGGCATACAACTCGATCCAACCGTATAGAACATATTCACCCATATTCCACCATATCAATCCACCCTTATTACACCTACTACAACGTGCAGCCCGATCACACCATATCAGTACCAAATACTCAAAGCACAATCAATTTAATAGTACAACCACAAAGCCTTTACGATTAATAAATACCAAATTGAAACAAAAGGGAACTTGTATAATAAAGAAATCTACTGGAGTAATACTACACAGCGAGACCAATCCAGCAATTGGCAATTAAAAGGTACAAGTAAGTCAATTTAAGCAAATAGCAGGGAATCATGAAACTATGGAAGGGCTAATATCAATAGTAGGACAAGACATTGATTGACAATTAGCAGTTAAGCATGGAAAACATTTAGAGCATATAACAAATGAGACAGGGAAGGAAATAATAAAGGAAAAGCAGAAAATTATTATAAACAGATAATTCGGCAGCGTATAAGCACTCGTCACCTTGCATATACGCCGCTCACATGAAATTCACATAGAACAAAATCCGAGGGTTCCTAATTCCCTCAAGTCAAGGTTAACTAAAACACTTACATCACTCCGCAGTCAATTCAAAGCTTTACTGGGACCTTGCCCATAGAATTTA